ATGCGACGGCCCAACACCTCCATGCCGTTGAAGATGTCAATGGCTGCACTGCACAGCCTGTCGTTCTGAAACTCGACGAAGGCGAACCTTCCCTCCCCACGGACGTCAGCAGCGAGCACTGGCGGACCCAAGGCGGAGTTGTAGTCAGGCAGGACGCTGCACGCGGGCTCAAAAAGGTCCTTTAGGACCTGTGGGGTGATCACACCCAAGGCCAGGTTCCCAACGTAGGCCTCTCTCTGTCGTTTGTCCTGCTGAGGGTTGGCAGGCATGGCCTTTTGTGGGAGGAAACCCTGGACCCGGAGGACGCTGACGTCCATGGGGGCAGGGGGAGGCCCTAGAGGGGTGTACCCGGTTGGTCTGGCGATCCTTAGCTGACGGCCTAGGAACTCGACTCGATCAAACTCCAAGGCAGTGAGACATATCTCCTCAGAGGCGAACTCGACAAAGCAGTACTGGCCACATGGGGAGAGTCGGACCTCACGAATGCAACCAGCTGGGAGGATGTGGGCGTATTTGTGCTGGTACTCGGGGAGAGCTGTCAATGCCGTGTTGAAGAACTCCTTCACGTTGGCCACATTAGCTTGGCCCTTGGCCAGATTGCCCACATATAGCTCTTTAGCCTTCTTATTCTGCCCAGCACCACCAGCGAGTACTTGTTGTTGCATCAGCAGAGTAGAAGCGTCAAGTCCCGCCCCTCCCAAGGCTGACGAACTAAAGTTGCTTTGGGGCTGCCCACTAGGCTCAGTGGAGTCGTCCCAGCCACTCTTCCGAGACTTTCGTCGTTCACTCCTCGACCTGTCCCGCCTGGAGCGCCTCTTGTCTCGTCTACCATGAGAGCGACTCCTACTGCTACTGCTAGTGTCCGAGCCGCCCCGGCGTCGTCTACTGCGCTCCCTTCTGCCGTGGTCTCGAGACCTGAGGTCAGCTGGTATGCTCGGGGGCTCGATGGAGTCGTACCCACGGCCAGGGGGAGCGGTGCCGTTGGCGGGTGGAAAGGGTTCTGGTTGATCCCAGCCAGGTGGGGCCATTCTGGTGTTATTTGTACTTGCGCGGAATTCAGTTAACACTGCGTCGTTTTAACTTGTGTAAAATCGCTCGAAGTTCGGAAAGCTTTCCCCAAGCATAATCGTTCGTTCGTCGTTCCGTCTCCCTCGTACATTTTAACAACGTTTTAAGTCTATGTCCGTTATATTAGAGGGCCATCCCAGATTATCCGCTCGGGACTGAGGATCCGATGCATGAATCATTGAACTACAATGAAGCGACGATGTCGAAGCAAGGCGTGTACGTGGTAGTCCTTGGCTGACCCATGTCAAGCATTGTATACTATCATCATTCGCTTCCATTATCTTATTACTTGTTGTTGGGACATGGCATCCCCCCCTGAGTCCGAGCTGTTGCATCTGTACAGTTGATGACGACACTGTTGGCGACGTCACGTGATTGGACGCCTTGTTGAGGGAATACCTCTCAGATGAGGAGCTGCTGCTGATTCGGTTGGAAGTCCTGAGGCTCCGGGTGAGGCATCTTGCGGATTGGACTATTATGGTAGGTGTGTGCTGAGCCCATGCAGTGCCTATGGTGCAAGTCTTTGAGAATGCCTCCGCACCAGATGTGGCCGTGGTGTGGTATGACTGGGAGTAGGTACTGATGCTGTACTAGCAGCGATGTTGGTATCCATCGTCTCCGTACTTGAAGAACTGTGTTGGACTGGAAAAAGAGACCGAGAAACCATCTGTGTGCTGTAGAGACACTGGAGCATCAGCGGCCCAAGGAAGTGGTTCGCTTCTCGTGGGCCCGGTGGGAGTGATCGATTAGGGTAAAGTCACTGTCTCTTGAGGTCCATCAGGAACGAGAAAATATGGGGGAGATGGCAGCTTAGACTGTATAGTGGATTCAGTCGTGTCGAGAATCTCGATCTAATGCGAGGCTCAGCGTGGAGTGGATTTGGAAAAGAAGTAGAAATAGGATTGCTACTCTGGGGAGTATCTTGTCGTATCTTAGGTTGCTCGTGGTAGGATACGGTTTAGGTTCGTTCGACTTTGCTTGACGAAGTGCCGAAATGTGACGGATGTATGTCTGTATTCGTTATGGTTTATCAATTCATAAGGACCTGCATTATAAAATTATAAGCCCTAAAGGAAGCTTTATTCCGAGAGGGTCCTGAGGCAGCCTCAAAGTGGCGTTGATATCAAGTTAGTAGAATATCCATCATTTTCAAGTTGCCGACCCATCACACGGGCGAATGGTCTGAGAAATTAGCATTGCTTAGCGGAGCGAAGCAGCTGGTTTTGGGTGATGATAACTATCATCATCATTGGGCAGTATGTCGTTGGCTATCGTGCTGCTATGAGCCCATTCTATGTATCTTGTGCATGCCTGAGGACGTGATTCTACGTAGTATTGCAGCTGCTTCTACGGACAGCTGAGCGTGTTGAGTTGGGCTGGTGATGGTATTGGCCGTATTTTGCAGAATTAATGAGGCGTAGACCCTCCAGAGACCCCCCTGTGAGCTTACAATGGCAGTGTGGTGAAAGCGAGGTAGGTATGCTGGAGTGAGGCAGTGTTGGAAGTGACTGGCAGAGACGACTGGAGGAAGTTGGGCAACTACTGCAAAGGTCGACGGCTGGGGCACAAGACGCTGTGAAAGATCCTAAGTAGGGTTCGCCTTGTAGGAGGGAAATGGCATTGTATAAGGCTAGGGAGTATAAGATAAAGTATTAATAATAAACCATGTCAGGAGTTGTGATATGAAAAACAGTAGTGAAAAACATATTTTACGACTACTGCATCGGCGTTTCAAAGAGTATTACGCCACTTCGCGTAAAACGGATTAAGCTCCAATATTATAAAGCGTATTATGGTTACTAACTTTTTCCTATTAATAGTCATATTTGTAATATTGGGTTAACGTCGGAAACTGTTCCTATCGTATCGAGGGATTGGCTTCTCTCCGATTTGGGAGGTTCGTAACCTCGAAGGTGTCCTTGGATTTGTTTTCAGGCAGCGTGAGGATGCTAGTGAGCCGGAACTGGGTTCTTTAGAGGCATTCCTCAATCCGCCTCCTCACACGGAAGCTGTTGAGCTCGATAAGACTGAGCTCGATGAGGCTGTGGATTCGCAGTGGGAGCTGACGTCAGGAGTAAGGAGTTGACGCAGTCGTTTGACAGCTGTCATTGGAGTGTGTGTAGGAATCTTCTAGTATAGTCTCCAGCCCTAGGGATAGTCCTGGGACAAACTGCAATAATGCTGGGCTTGAGCGTGGCAAGTGGCGTCGATTGAAGAAGGAGTTGTGCCCGCAGCTGACTGG